TCGCCGCTCTGCCCCTTGCTGGCCTCCGAGGTGGCCTCAGCTCAGAAGCAGCTCAGCAGCATGGTGCAGCTGGCCAAATGCCACTGCCGCAGGGACAACCTCTGGAAGCGCCTCTTCCTCCTGGAGCCTCTGGCTTCTGACAAGCTGAAGCTGGGCAAGCTCTCACTGGTGGAGCTGGAGGAGCTGCTCGACGCCGTGCATGGGAAATCCATTGCTGATGTCGACCCCCAGCTGGTGAGCAGCAGGGATGGAGTCATGGTGCACAGCAGCTGCTGTTCTGCTCTGGGGAGGGAGTGGGGCGCTGGGTGGAGGGCCTGCAGGGCACATCTCTTCTTGCTTGGTGGGAAGATAGAGGCAGGAACATAGCTCCTAGCTGGCAAGGGAAGGGGAAGGCTGCATGGACCCGTCTATGGAGAGTGGATAGCTCTGGGTCAGCATTCCTCAGTGGGCTGCGATGGATGCATCTGATCTGGGGTCTGAAGGCTGCTGTAGCATTATGGCTGCTGGTGCCATGGCTAGAAGGAGGCTGAAATCAGCCCTTCTCTATGCCCGCAGGGATGCTTCCTCACCATGACAGTCTCCTGGTACCAGAGCCTCATCAAAGTGCTATTGAGCCGCTTTCCCCAGAGCTGTCGGCATTTCCACAATGCTGAAACCGGCACCCAGTATCTGGTAAGTCCCAGCCCGTCACCCTGCAGCCTCTCTCCCCTGTCCAGGGCCCCTGCCTGCTGTGCCTTCTCACAGTGTGAGCCTGGCGTGTGCTGTCAGGACAATGTGGGCACTGTCACGATGTTGCTGTCCACTCTGCAGCATGAGGTGTGTGCTCCTGTGGTACAGCAGTGTCTGTTTGTCTGCCCCCAGGCAGGCAGGACACTCTTCACACCCACAGCCTCATGCCATGTATAGCCCCGTGGTTTGGCAGTGTCACCTGTGAGCCAGGCAGACCTCCACCTTCATGGCTGTATCGTGCCACTCGTCCTGCACGTCAGCACATCCCTGGGTGGGTGTTGTTCGTACCCCTGTCCTGGGGTTTGTGCTGTCTCCTTTGCAATGTGTGCTGTGGCTCTCTTGACAGGTTGTGCTCAACCAGAAGTTCACGGATTGCTTCGTTCTTGTGTTTCTTGATTCCCATTCAGGAAAGACGGTAAGAACTTGGGAACGTAAGAGCAGCTATATTGGCTCAGGCCGGGAGTCTGTCTAGATCGATCCAGCAGTTGCCAAGGGCAGGTGCCCATGGGGAGAATAAGAGCAAGTCAAGAAGCTTGTTAACACCTTTCCCAATTACTGTCCCAACATCTGACAAACTGTGGCCCGGGCCTGTCCTGAGCTATAGGTGGCCTTTGCATTTATTCAACAGCCCTCCGCAGCTTTATTTCCTTTGGTTAATTTGTGGCATCAGTGATTTCCCCTGACTTGCTGCTCCATGATACAATTACAATCTAGGTGAACAGCTACCTTCCTTGGCTTGTTTTTGAACCTCCTTCTGCTTTTTTCATCTGATGCTCCTTTGTTCTTGTATTGGAAAATGGTGAGCAGTTGATCCCCTTTTCCTTCACAGGGTTGCTTTTGGATCATGCTCTCGGCTGTCTCTCTGTCCAGGCTAAAGAGCCCTTCTGTATTCAGTCCAAAGCCAGAGCACACTGGGTCTGGCTGGGAGGGGTCACCAGTGCTGCGGGCTGCTCCTACCTGGGCAGAAAGGAAGGGGACCTGCACTGTGGGTGCAGGAAGGGAAGGGTCCCAGCAAACCTGCACGGGCCTTGGCCTTCATTGGACTTGAGGGCGAAAATACTCTGCTTTGAGCTGTGCTCCCAGGCAGGGTGCAGGATGGGTCACAGGGAATGCAGCTCCATGTGAGAGCAGGGCATCTACAAGACACTTCAGTCTACAGTGAGGCTTTTGCAGAGACTGCAGCATATCTGATCTCTTTGTAAAATACATAAATAATAAATAAATAATAATAAATCACAATCCATCTTAAAAGCAGGTAGAGGAGACAGCAGAGGTGGTGCCTGCTGGAAGGCTGCTCAGTGCCTCCTGCCACCTGATGGTGAAGAGCCCTTCCCATTTTGTGCTGGAGCTTTAGTCGTGGCCAGTTCTATCCTCTTCATGCCAGTGGCGGGTACCCGCTTCCTCCCCAGTCCCCTAGGTTCACCTCCACATCTGAAGGTGGAATTTTTACTAACTCCATGTTGCTGTGTTAAGCAAGCCAAGCTCTTAAGCCTGCCTTCCCTTCTCCAGTGGCTTCATTGTCATTCAGAGCCCTTCAGAGCTCTTCAGGGCTCAGGTCAGCCTTTGTAAATACAGGTGTCTGGGGCTGCACCCAGTATTCCTGAGGAATCTCAGCAGAGCCTTCTGCGATTGCACTAAGGCTTTTCTGTCCCTGCCCGCTCCTTTTGGTACAGCCTAGAGTGGTATTTGCCTTTTCATGGTCATGTCTCACTGGTCATAGTGTCTTCCTGTGGTCATTGATATGATACACCCGGACTCTCCATCACCTCTCCCAATGAATCCCATCTTCTAACAGAAATCCTTCATGTTCCTCACCTTGTATTTCACACTTAACATTCATCCCATTCCTGTGGCCTCTCAAAAGTCTCTAGGGCTTTTTTTGCATTATCCCAATCCTCTTTTGTATTAGTGCCTCAAATTTTATCAGCATGCTCTTCATCTTTGTGCCAGACTCATTAAAGTACTAGGCAACGTGAGTCCCAAAACCTCTCCTGGAGGAATTCCATTTGCAACCTCTCTCCAGCCTGCTACTTCCCCTTTCAGCACTACCATCTTCACCTTACAATTTTTGCGTTAATTCCTATCTTTTCAGCTTACCTAAATTTCCCATGTGGCACTACATCAAATCCTTCCTGAAGCTCAGATAAGATATACCATGATTCCTTTGTCTAGAAATATGACCTTATCGAAGAGAACTCTAGCATTAGCACATCATTTTGGTAACACTGAGCTGCATTTTCCTCGTGGTTCTTTCTCTCCAAGCCTGCTCTAAAGCCTTGCACGCTGCCGAGTTACGCTCACAAATCACTTTCTCTTCCACCTTAAATGATGGTGGTGCATTTGCTGTTTTGCAGTTACACAGCTGTTCTCATGGCTTTATGAGTTTGTTAGGGGACCCTGGCTACTAGATGTGCTGCATTTCAGCTCTGGAGAACATCCAGTCCCCGTGTCTTGCCTCCATGATGTTGATCTCAGTGCACTGAGTTGCTCACGTTTTTCTTCTGCTTCAGCTCCTGCAACCTTCTCTTCTGAACCCTGTTCTCTGCCCCCCTCTGCCCTTGCCCTGCCTTGTCAGTACAGTCACTAATGAGGATGGAGCAGCCAGCATTTATTTTTAGGATTGCAGTTATTACATTTAATCTCCTCCCCTTCCCCATTTGTTGCACTCCTACTCTTTGCCTTAGAAGAAATTTCCCTCTAATTTCCCTGGAAGCCCCTATTACTGTGGAAGCAGTAGGATCCCTTCCTCTCCTGAGGCTGCTGCTGGGGTTGGTATAACTGCAGATGCATGGGGGCTGGGTCAGAGGGAGTGGGCAAGTCCTTGCACCTGATTTCCACCAGGAAAATTGGGAGGAGGCTCAAACATGCTTTGTGACAGGAGGAGGCACTAGCTTAGTGCTGTTGGCATTTTGGGATTTCTCCCAGTATCTGCCTGACACGGCCAAGCAAGTGCCCACGCATCTGGGCTAGGGACTGCACAGTGCTTGTCCTGACCTGCTCTTCCTTCTCAGCAGAGCCTCACCGTGGTTTTCCGGGAGCCGTTCCCAGTGCAGCCCCAGAACAGCGAGAGCCCTCTGCCACAGCTTGTGTCCACATACCACCACCTGGAGTCTGTTATCAACACTGCCTGCTTCAACCTCTGGACAGGCCTGCTCTAGCACTGGCACCCACATCCTGGAGCGATACACGTACCAGACCTCTTGGCGCGGCTGTGCCGTGGGTGATGATGGGGAAGAACAGGCCTCCGGGAGGGACCTGTGCTCCGGCACTGCAGGCAGCGCTGCTAGCGGCACGCATGGCTACTGAACTGAGGAGCCTGGGGATGTGGGAGGGCAGCCTGCCTCCTGCTCTTGGGCTTCAGCCCCAGCTGTGCCTCCATCATTCGCTGGCTGGCTGGTGTGGCCCTCAGTGCGCTGTTTTCGGTGGGTTTGATACTGAATTACCTTGAACCGAACCGCAAGGGCAGGAGGTTGGCTGCTGTGGCTTGTCTGGAGCAGAGTGGCTCTCAGGGACATGGCTTTGGCATCTGCAGGTGAGTTCTGCCTGCCGGGAAGGCACGGAGGAGCACACACAGCATGTCTTCTGCACAGGGCAGCACTGCACAGTGCTCTGGCTTTAGGTGGAAAGAAGACTGGACTTCAGGGCTCTGGGCAGTGAGGCGGCCTACTTCTGGCCCTTTGCTTTCATGAGGAGAGCACCAAATGGGACAGGAAGGGTGAACTGGACCGGGGGAAGGTTTTATGGAGATGTACATTAAAGCCATTGATATATCTGTGAATAAACTGAACCAGATCCCCACTCACGTGCCATAAGCTAGGATGTGGAAAGCCTTCCGTAGGGGATGCAGAGGCAACCCTGGCTGCAGGGCTGGCTGGGTTTGCACTGGCGTCTCATACTCGCTCTGGAGCAGGAGCAGCAGGGCAGTCAGCCCCACATGTCTGTGGGCAGGCAGCCCCCAGCCTGTTACCTTGGTTCAGGCAGCCTGCGAGGGGACTGCTTGCTTCACTTTCCCCACCTGCTGCAGGGTCAGTGCTGGGCGCTGGCAGCAGCCTTGAGAACTGCAGGACTTGGAAGCCCAGAGCCCTCATCCCACAACTCCGTGCACCAGCTGGAGCTGGACTGGGAAAACCTGTGCCCTTTCCAAGGAGTGAATGTTCCCCTCAGCAGGGGGGACTGGAAACCTCTCCCTGGACACCCCTGCAGTCTGGAGGTGAAGGTGCTCCTGTGTACCTCAAGTCACCTACAGTGGTGCCCAAGCCATCCCCAAATATGACATGCTGCAGATGGTGCTTGAGTAGATGAGGGTCCAACTGCTTGGGCTGGCCCAGCAGGGCCTGGGGAAGGGCAATGGGACACAGATGCTCCTAACTTTGCCCCAGGTCATAGAGAAGACAGACATGCTCCTCTGTTAAGCCATTGCTTTGACTTTTATTCCAGTGTTGTGTTTTACTTTGCTGCCTTGCTGGTCCCACCATGCTGCAGGCCTCGGCTCTGCCAGTACGAGCGCAGCCAGCCCAGACCTTCCAGAGTGTCTCCTGCAGTGACAGACAAGGTCTCCTGCTGGCACCCCCAGGCAAGCTGGAGCAGCTGCTGCTTTGGGCAGGGCTCTCATCCCCAGGTAGGGATGCCGACGCCCGCTGCCTGCCACGCCCCAGGACATGCCTGCCTTTGCACAGTCCCCAGCCAACTGGTCCATGCTGGGACCTGCCAGTGGGGCTTGGACCACCCCCAGGCCCACTCACCTTTCGGAGCATACTCGCACCCCACATAGCCAGTGTAGCCAAGGGACTCCAGGAGCTCAAAGATGTAAGGGAAGTTCAACTCCCCAGGGCTGTCAGGCTCGTGCCGCCCTGGCACCTGTGCAATCTGGATATGACCTAGGGAGGAAATGGGAGATGCTCTGCTCGAGGCAGCTCCGCCCAAGGCAGCCCTGCCTGCAGCCTTCTCTAGGCATGGGACAAGGTGACCCAAGAGCAGACCCTTGCCCCCAGCCAGCCACAGCAGAGTGGGGCAGCAGGGCTCCATCTCAAAGCCGCTCCTGCCCCGTGGCCACAGAGGAGCTGGTTTGGATGCAGGTCGTTACCGATAAGTGGGAAGTATGTCTCCAGGTTGCGTGACAAATTCCCATCCATGATCTGGCAGTGAAAGAGGTCCTGTGGGAGAGAGAGGAGACGGGTGGTGCAGCTGTTGAGCAGTGAGCAGTCGAGGACGGCTGTGCTACAGTCCCTGTCCCTCCCCACGTCCCCAGGAGGGGATAACAAGCCCACATCCCCTGGGACTCCCCTGTGGGCCTGTGCAAGGTTTCCTGGTGGAGGGTGGACCCTGGAGATCTTCAGTGCTGACTCACCAGCTGCAGCTTCAGGTTGGGCCGTCCCACCTTCTCCAGGATGGCAGCAGCTAAGGGTGCAAGAAATGAGAGACCATCACTCCCAGGCTGGAAGCTTCATGGTGATGCCCTGAGACTCCCGTTCATCAGCTGTGCTCCCTCAGCATTTCCCTGCAGGTGATGCAACCTCCTGCCTTTCAGACTTTGGGGATCCTTCTCCTCCCTTGAAGGAGACTTTGGGGAGCGATGTCTGCCTTACCTTGGTGCGGGGTGTTCAGAAAGTAGCGAGGGTCAGTGATGCGGTTGTTGATAGGCTCTACCAGTCCAATCATGTCTTCCTGTAACACAGTAATGTCACCCTATGGAGCACCCTGTCACCTCTGCAGCAGGGAGCGGCTCCCTCCCCGTGCCAGGCTGCTGGGGGATTCTCCATCCTTGGTACCCTAAGAGCTGCACTCACGGAGCAGGAGCCGTTCTCCACTTACCTGGGCCAGGAGGTCAGCAGCGTATCTGAGATTCTCAATGAAGGTGGTTTCCATCTCGCCTGCCACTGCTGCCCGGTCTGCACCCATGGGAACCCGCCCAGCCATCAGGTGGATCCTGCAGTCACAGAGAGATCAGCCACAGGCAGCAGCTCCAGTCTCCAAGCAACTGGTCGGATCTAATACACCTTCCTCTGTCAATGGAAAATGGGGCCAGGGTGGGGGAGCAGACACAGATGGGGGTTAAGAGGAGCCATCTCCTCTGCAGGAGGCGTAACAGGCACCAGCGAGCTGCAGGGACACAAACCTGCACCATCCCACCTCAGTACGCAGAGGAACATCCTTGAACCTTTTGCCTGACAAATCGCAGACCTCGATTCTTCCCCTTTTTGACAGCTGCCTCCAGCTCTTCCACCCCAAGGCTGGAGCTTTCTTGGGGTCTCGCTCCTGGGGCTGCCCCAAGGCCAGCAGGATGGGCAGCAGGCATGCTGCCTCTGCCCGGGGCAGGTCAGACACCTTGTCTCACCACTTGCTGGATTAGAGCAGGGAGGGGACGGTGGCCAGTGCTGGGCTACGCCAGGCTGCGTGCAGAGCTCAATGGCAGGGCAAGAGCAAGGCTCTTCAGCGACGGTTTGGGGAAGGCGTACAGTGGAAACAAAAACCTTTTCAATCTACCCGTTACCAGAGAGTGCAAATGGGTGTGGGCAACCCCCGGCCTGCCTGGCCCATGCCCACCGCAGGGCTTTGGGCTGCGTTTCTAAGGGAAAGAATGATGCAGAGTAAATGGAATAAAAGGGCCACGCTGGTTTTCTGAAGGGGGTTGTGCCAGGCTAATTGCATCTCTTACAGTGTCTCTGCTGTGCTGTGATCAGTGTGGCCTTCAATAAAGCAACTGTTCTGGTGTCCCAGGGGAAATGACTGGTATAATTGGGGAGGAAAAAGGGAGGATTATCATGGGGACTGTTGTGCGGAGGTGCAGACAAGAGCCACCGCAGGGAACGGCAGGGTTGGATGAGAGTGCCTGCCAGCTTTGGGGCTGCTCCCAGCAAGCACATTAAGGCCGTGGGCCCGCATGCAGGGGTCTGCAACGAACTGGCTCCCACCCGATGGAGCCGAGCAGGGAGACGCTGCCCGGGAGAGGCTCCGCGACCCAGCGGGATGGAGGGACAGCGGTGCAAAGGGCGAGCCCTGCTCGGGAGAAGAGCTGGAGCAGGAGGGCTGCGGAGGGGTGCTTTGGTGCCGCCGGGGCCGGGAACCCG